TGCGAAATCAAGGCCCGTGGCCTTGTAGGCTCTCTGCACGCACATGTGGTGTTTGTTACTTGTGTAGGGGTGTTGCATCATCGTGATTATTGTTCTTTCTGGCTGGGTTGGCCCTCCCGATGAATCTCTATGGCCAGAAGAATTTGCAGTCACAACATATGGAGCTTTCTTCTTGCTCCCTTTTCTACGAAATTTCTAAAATTAAAGAATCAAAATTTTTCCTTGCATTGAATTATTTTTTTATTAATCCATTTCGACTAGAATCTACAAAACCTGCCTCAAAGCTTTGGCCATGAATAGAATATAGAGAACACGTAGCTGGTCAAAAGATGTGACTGTGTTCTGTAGAAGATGAAAATTCCTTCTTGAGCCTTCAGTGGTTATTGTATAGCTGAACTATGAAACTCCATTAACACCGCAGGTGTGTCTGTGACACCAGAACTTTCAGTTGCTGCGTTCTGAACTCTGTCTCTCCACATACAGCCAAAATCAGTTGGCTGCAGTATGCATAGGCACTTCTGAGGCAGTTCCCATGCCTAGAGAGCAGCGATTTTTATAACCACTCTACCTTTTTTTGCTAGACCTGAAAGAAGAGTCGGAAGGCTGGGATGGTTCCGAGGAAGAAGAGAAGCCTTCTTCCCAGCCAGATGTTGTAGAAGGGCAGGAGCTATCTAAATGCTCACCTGAAACATCTCTGATGCCGGATTGCAACAGCTGGAACGTAGCTCACAGAAGGTTGTCAGTCTTTCGCTCTCTCAGGCACATGAGACAGGTAAGAGAGGAGCACAGTCACTCTGATGCTGAATTTGCAAGCTAATAACCTCTTGTTCTCCTGATAACAGTATTTGAAAAGATATATTTATTTCCTGCAGCCTGCACTTCTTTACTGGTTCTGTGTTCAACACAGTGCCTGCACAACTAGTAATATGGTGTAATACGGTGTAACTGCATCTCTGAGGATGCTCCCTTCCTCTGAGATCACGTGGGCCTCTAGTGATCATTAGTCATGTGGGATGGGATCATATGATTTCTCTCAAATTCTGCACTTCTTCCCAAGAAGAGTGGCAGTAATTTAATACAGAGGTCATGCAGCATCTTCAAAGCCAAGTATTATTTGCTTAAAACAAAAGTGTTTCAGAAGGGAAAAAAAAATCATTTACAAACAAAACAAATGGTTCTGTAAGACCTAGGTTTTATTCAGTGCTTCCAGTTACCTGGCTGAGGGGGAAGGTTCAGTGCATTTGACCCACAGTCTCTTTCGCACCAGCTTCTTTTTCTGAACACTCCTGACAAATACCTGTTTTATGTCCTTAGCCTCCTTTTGTTCTGCTGTCTCCTAATTTGGAATGCTTGAAGCTATCGAACTACACCACTGTGTTGTGCAAGCGTGTGCCTTTGGAGGCTTGTCTGAGAATATCGTTTAATCTTTCGTGCCTGAATCGCTGTTGTGAACGTAGCCCAGAACAGAGAAATGCCTGACAGTTGTTATCATCTAATAGAAGTTGTTCAGTCCCATTCCAAATGGGCCTGTGTCCATCTTACCAAAACCGCTAATTTGGCCAGCGAGCAGGCTGATTGATGCAGTCTAGCCAGAGCCCCGAAGATTTTGGAGCAACCTAGAAATGAAACTGCTGTTCTCTTAATGCGCTTCATGTTGAATTGGATCAGTGGTTAGGCGTGTTGGCAAAGTGGTACTTTGCTGCTGTTTGTTCTTGAAACCATAGATGGGGCAAATATTGCTTTGCAGGACAGTCCAACCACTTTCACACCTGTCAAAGAAATACTTGATCTTGGTGCTGTGGGTTGGGGCTATTACTCTGTGCACAAAACCTGCCAAATTTTCATGTTCATTTCTGCTGTTCACTTCTAGCCATTTTCTTATGTGGCAGTCCTGTTTTTGACAGGGAAAACTGGCCATTTCACTAATTTTCAATGCAGAAATTTTTTTTTTTCCAGGTTCTTGGGGCATCAGCATTCCACGTGCTGGCTTGGCATGTTCTGATGGGGAACCAGGTCATCTGGAAAGCTCGAGACGTGGATCTTGTCCAGTCTGCTTTTGATGTGCTACGGGTAGAAACTTCTCCTTTGTTTCCTGGCTGCATATTTTTACATCTGTTTCTCTAGTAATCCAGCCTTCATAATGACCTGTCTCTGACATGTAATCTTGGGGCGAATGTGTTCTAAATTATGTGGTTTTAATAAAACAACAACAAAAAAACCAAACCCCAAAACATCCACCAAACAAAAAAATCTTCAACCTTTGGATGTATTGGTTGTCCCCAGCAACTGCGTAGCCTTTCAAGCTGAGTAGGATACTTCTGATCCCACAGATCAGGAGTGTCTGCCTGAGCAGTGCTCCGAGTCTTGGCTGGCGCTGGAAGTTGGGGAGAAAGTTGTAGTTTACTGGTTTAGCTCCAGTGTTTTTCTTGACGTGTTTCCTTCCTTCTTTAGACCATGCTGCCTGTTGGTTGCGTGCGGATCATCCCCTACAGTGACCAGTATGAAGAGGCGTATCGGTGTAACTTCCTAGGGCTTAGCCCGCATGTCCAAATCCCATCCCACATATTATCATCTGGTAAGAACTCCTTGCAGAACCCTCTCATTTCCCCATCATCTTATGTTAAAGGACACAAGATTTTTTTTTTTTTTAAATTAAGTATTGGCAGATAGTCTAACAATGCTGCATGAAAGAAAACCTGTACCACTTCGTTTTGTTTTCCCCATACCCCTGCCTGATCAGTAGTTGAAAGGTGTGACAACTGCTTTGAGCACTGATCATACTGTAGCTGACAGTCCTGGTTCCTACTGAGGAAAGGTTAATGCTGGGCCAAATATCATAAGCTGACAGAGCTGTGCTTTCTCGGAGCAGGGTATGCAGCTGTAATTTTAGAATCTGGGCTAGTACAGTTAATGTTCTTTTGGGCTCTTGTCGCTCTAGAGTTTGCGGTCCTTGTGGAAGTTCGCACTGCTACCCGGTCCAGTCTCTACCCAACTCTGTTTGATGATGAGCAGTCCCTCAACAAGTACGAGTTTGTTGTCACCAGTGGTAGCCCTATTGCAGCAGATCGAGGTGGGTGATTTGAAAGCAGAAAGAACCTGTATCACTGAGGTTAAAAGAGCATCTTGGTCTTTAATTGTTTTTTATGCTGTTCATGTGCTGGCCCTTAAGGAAGTCTGAGTAGAAGCCAGGTCAGTGTACAACTGGGGTACTGCTATTTGAGGTGAGGTTTACCACAGGCTGTTTAATTGTAAAGGGTTTGCTTTGCCAGATCAGCATTTTGCTTATTAATTTTCAGAAGTGAGAAACTAATTCTGTAACGTGTATAGTAGCAATTGTAGGTAAATTCTTCTGTAACCCACAATGAACATTTTCTATCCTAGAATACTTGTGTGTTTGAGTAAGTCTAGCTTATAAGGACCGTGATGTTACTCATCACCCATGTTCCGCTTGATAGACAAGTATGACTGATACAGAAATGCCCAGACCAGGATTCAGCCGAATCGCGGGCGGCATCAAAAGCAGCGTGGCCAGCAGGTCGAGGGAGG